CAATAGTGAATATGTGTGTATCTAAATATACCTAAACATAGGAGAGGTACAGTACAAATATGACATAAAAAATTAAAAGGAAACAAAAGGGTCCATGTGTATAGGGCACTACTATGGAGCTTGCAGGACTGACAGTTGCTCTGGGTGAGTCAGTGAGTGAGTGGTAAGAGAATGTATAAACTTTCTAACACTGTACACTTACGAGTATTTTTTTTTTTTTTTTTTAAATTTTTATTTATTTATTTTTTTGTTACAGATATTTTACCTTTTTACTCCATTGGCACCCCCCACCCCACCCCCCCTCCACCCTGTCCCCGGCTTAGTTGTCCATGTCCATTGGTCATGCATACATGCATATAAGTTCTGTGGTTTATCCCTTCCCACCCCCCCACCCCCCATCCCCTCTTCTGAGGGATGTCAGTCTGTGCCCCACTTCCATGTGTCTGGGTCTACTGTATTCCTCAGACTGTTATGTTCATTATATTCCGTATATAAGTGAGATCATGTGGTATTTGTCCTTCTCTGCTTGGCTTCTTTCACTTAGGATAATACTTTCCAGGTCCCTCCATGTCGTCTCAAAGGATAAGAGATCTTTCTTTCTTACCGCTGCATAGTATTCCATTGTGTATATGTACCACAGCTTTTTGATCCATTCGTCTACTGGTGGACACTTGGGCTGTTTCCAGATCTTAGCTATTGTAAATAGTGCTGCTATGAACATGGGGGTACATATATTCTTCCTGATTGGTGTTTCAGGCTTCCTAGGGTATATTCCCAGCAGTGGGATCACTGGGTCAAATGGAAGTTCAATATTTAATTTTTTGAGGTAGCACCATATTGTTTTCCATAGCGGCTGCACCAGTCTGCATTCCCACCAGCAGTGTATTAGAGTCCCCTTTTCTCCACACCCTCGCCAACACTTGTTGTTTGATGATTTGTTGATGGCAGCCATTCTGACAGGTGTGAGGTGATACCTCATTGTTGTTTTAATTTGCATCTCTCTGATGATTAGTGATGTTGAGCATTTCTTCATATGTCTCTTGGCCATTTGTATGTCCTGTTTGAAGAGGTGTCTATTCAGCTCCTCTGCCCATTTTTTAATTGGGTTCTTTGTCTTCCTTTTGTGGAGTTGTATGAGCACTCTGTATATATTGGAAATTAACCCCTTATCTGATACATCATTGGCAATGATGTTCTCCCATACAGTGGGTTGCCTTTCCATTTTGATGATTGTTTCTTTTGCTGTGCAGAAGCTTTTTAGTTTGATGTAGTCCCATGTGTTCATTTTCTCCTTTATTTCTGTTGCCTTAGGTGATGTATCAGTGAAAATTCTGCTCCGTATGATGTCCGAAATTTTGTTGCCTACATTTTCTTCTAGAATTTTTATGGATTCACGGGTCACATTTAAGTCTTTTATCCATTTTGAGTTTATTTTTGTGTATGGTGTAAGTTGATGGTCTAGTTTCATTTTTTTGCATGTAGCTGTCCAGTTTTCCCAACACCATTTATTAAAGAGGCTGTCTTTACTCCACTGTATGCTCTTGCCACCTTTGTCAAATATTAATTGAGCGTATTGCCTTGGGTCCATTTCTGGGCTTTCAGTTCTGTTCCACTGGTCTATATGCCTGTTCTTGTGCCAGTACCAGGCTGTTTTGGTTACAGTCGCTTTGTAGTATAACCTGATATCTGGTATTGTGATCCCTCCAACTTTGTTCTTCTTTTTCAAGATTGCTGTGGCTATTCGGGGTCTTTTTTGGTTCCATATGAACTTTTGAAGTATTTGTTCTAGTTCTATGAAATATGTCGTTGGTATTTTGATGGGTATTGCATTGAATCTATAGATTGCTTTGGGTAGTATGGACATTTTAATTATGTTAATTCTTCCAATCCATGAACAGGGTATGTGCTTCCACTTTTTTATATCTTCCTCTATTTCTTTTTTCAATGACCTGTAGTTTTCTGCAAATAGGTCCTTTACTTCTTTGGTTAAGTTTATTCCTAGGTATCGTAATTTTTTTGGAGCGATGGTAAATGGGATTGTTTTTTCAGTTTCTCTTTCTGTGAGCTCATCATTGATGTACAAGAATGCCGTCGATTTCTTGACGTTAATTTTGTATCCTGCTACTTTGCCAAATTCATTTATTAAGTCTAATAGATTTTTGATGGATTCTTCAGGGTTTTCTATGTATAATATCATGTCATCTGCAAATAATGACAGTTTCACTTCCTCCTTTCCAATTTGGATCCCTTTTATTTTTTCTTCACATTTGATTGCTGTGGCTAAGACTTCCAGTACAATGTTAAATAAGAGTGGCGAAAGTGGACATCCCTGTCTTGTTCCTGTTCTTAATGGAAATGTTTTTAGTTTCTGTCCATTGAGTATGATGTTGGCTATAGGTCTTTCATATATAGCCTTTATTATGTTGAGATATGATCCCTCTATTCCTACATTGCTGAGCGTTTTTATCAGAAATGGATGCTGGATTTTGTCGAATGCTTTTTCAGCATCTATTGATATGATCATGTGGTTTTTATTCTTCATTTTGTTTATGTGATGTATCACGTTTATTGATTTGCGAATATTGTACCAGCCTTGCATCCCTGGAATGAATCCCACTTGGTCGTGGTGAATAATTTTTTTGATGTATTTCTGGATCCGATTTGCTAGTATTTTGTTCAGGATTTTGGCATCTATGTTCATCAGGGATATTGGCCTGTAGTTTTCTTTCTTCGTAGTGTCTTTTTCTGGTTTTGGAATTAGAATTATGCTGGCCTCATAGAATGTGGTTGGAAGTCTTCCTTCTCCTTGAATTTTTTGAAATAGTTTGAGGAGAATGGGTGTTAGTTCTTTTTTGAATGTTCGGTAAAACTCCCCTGTGAAACCATCTGGGCCTGGGCTTTTGTTTGCTGGGAGTGTCTTGATTACTTCTTCAATTTCCTTAGTTGTTATTGGTCTGTTCAAGTTTTCTATCTCTTCCGGGAATAGTTTTGGGAGACTGTGTGTTTCTAGAAATTTGTCCATTTCGCTGAGATTGTTGAATTTGTTGCCATATAGTTGTTCATAGTAGTTGTTAACGATCTTTTGTATTTCCGTGGTGTTGGTTGTTACTTCTCCTCTTTCATTTCTGATTTTGTGTATTTGGGTTCTCTCTCTTTGTTTCTTGGTGAGTCTAGCTAAGGGTCCATCTATCTTGTTTATCTTTTCGAAAAACCAGCTCTTTGTTTCATTGATCCTTTGAATTGTTTTTTTGGTCTCTATGTCATTTATTTCTGCTCTGATCTTTACTATTTCCTTCCTTCTACTTGCTCTGGGGTTTTCTTTTTGTTTGCTTTCTAATTCTTTAAGTTGTGAGGTTAGACAGTCAATTAGAAATTTTTCTTGTTTTTTGAGGTAGGCCTGTAGTGCTATGAACTTCCCTCTCAGAACTGCTTTCGCTGCATCCCATAGATTTTGTGTTGTTGTGTGTTCATTTTCATTGGTTTCCAGGAAGTTTTTAATTTCTTCCTTGATCTCCTCGGTGACCCATTCATTGTTTAATAACATGCTATTTAGCCTCCATGTGTTGAAATGTCTTTGCATGTTCTTGTTGCAATTGATTTCTAGTTTCATGCCATTGTGATCTGAGAAGATGCTTGATATGATTTCAATCTTCTTGAACTTGTAGAGATTTAGTTTGTGTCCTATCATGTGGTCTATCTTTGAGAATGTTCCATGTGCACTTGAGAAGAATGTGTATTCTGTAGTTTTGGGGTGTAATTCTCTGTAGATATCTATTAAATCCATTTGGTCTAGTGCTTCGTTTAGAGTCTCTGTTTCCTTGCTAATTTTTTGCCTAGAGGATCTATCCAGTGCTGTCAATGGGGTGTTGAAGTCCCCTGCTATGATTGTATTGTTGTCGATTTCTCCATGGAAGTCCTCCAGAAGATTTTTAATATATTTCGGTGCTCCTATATTGGGTGCATATATGTTTATCAAGGTTATATCTTCCTGTTGGATAGATCCTTTCAATATTATGTAGTGGCCGTCTTTGTCTCTAGTTATGGTCTTCATTTTGAAATCTATTTTATCAGATATGAGAATTGCTACCCCAGCTTTTTTTTGCTTTCCATTTGCTTGGAAAATTTTTTTCCATCCCTTCACTTTCAACCTATGTGAGTCTTTTGTTGAGAGGTGGGTCTCTTGTAAACAACATATAGATGAGTCATGCTTTCTTATCCAATCAGCTACTCTGTGTCTTTTTATGGGAGCATTCAATCCATTTACGTTTAAGGTGATTATTGATATGTACTTATTTATTGCCATTTTTGTTTAGTGTGGTTCTATTTTTCTTCCCATTTCTACTGCTAATTACAGCAGTCCTTTTAACATTTCTTGCAGTGCTGGTTTGGTGCTAATGTATTCCCTTAGCTTTTTTTTGTCTGGGAAGCTCTTTATTTGATCTTCTATTTTGAATGATAGCCTTGCTGGGTAGAGTAGTCTTGGATTCAGATTCTTGTTTTTCATGACTTTGATTACTTCATGCCATTCTCTTCTGGCCTGTAGTGTTTCTTGTGAGAAGTCAGCTGAGAGCCTTATGGGGTTCCCTTTGTAGGTAACCTGTTGCTTATCTCTTGCTGCTTTTAGGATTCTCTCTTTGTCTTTAATTTGTGGCATTTTAATTACTATGTGTCTTGGTGTGGGCCTGTTTGGGTTCTTCTTACTTGGGACTCTCTGTGCTTCTTGAACTTGAATGCCTTCTTCCTTCACCAAATTAGGGAAGTTTTCTCTCACTATTTTTTTGAATATATTCTCTATCCCTTGCTCCTTTTCTTCTTCTTCGGGGACTCCTATGATGCGAATATTATTACGTTTCCAGGTGTCCCATAGTTCTCTTAAGCTGTCTTCCTGTTTTTTAATAGTTTTTTCCTTTTGTTTTTCTGATTGGTTGATTTTTTCTACCCTGTCTTCTCCTCAGTGTAGCCCAGGATGCCCTTGAGGGGGCCCTCTGATGCCTGCTTCACTACCTTCTTGCGTATTTGGCAGCTTTCTCCAGGCGGCAGGTCAGATCCACAACAGACACATTGGGGGTGGGGACACGGAAGGCCATGCCAGTTAGCTTCCCGTTCAGCTCAGGGATGACCTTGCCCACAGCCTTGGCAGCGCCGGTAGAAGCAGGGATGATGTTCTGGGCAGCTCCTCGGCCATCACGCCACAGCTTCCCAGAGGGGCCATCCACGGTCTTCTGGGTGGCAGTGACGGCGTGGACCGTGGTCATGAGTCCTTCCACGATGCCAAAGTTGTCATGGATGACCTTGGCCAGGGGGGCCAAGCAGTTGGTGGTGCAGGAGGCATTGCTGACAATCTTGAGGGAGTTGTCATACTTGTCATGGTTCACGCCCATCACAAACATGGGGGCATCAGCAGAAGGGGCAGAGATGATGACCCTCTTGGCTCCACCCTTCAAGTGAGCCCCAGCCTTCTCCATGGTAGTGAAGACACCGGTGGACTCCACAACATACTCAGCACCAGCATCACCCCATTTGATGTTGGCGGGATCTCGCTCCTGAAAGATGGAGATGGATTTTCCATTGATGACAAGCTTCCCGTTCTCAGCCTTGACTGTGCCTTTGAACTTGCCATGAGTAGAATCATACTGGAACATGTAGACCATGTAGTTGAGGTCAATAAAGGGATCATTGATGGCGACAATATCTACTTTGCCAGAGTTAAAAGCAGCCCTGGTGACCAGGCGCCCAATACGGCCAAATCCGTTCACTCCGACCTTCACCATCGTGTCTCAGGGCTGAGGCTGCTGGCACTGCGCAGGAAGACGCGGCTGTCTGACGAATTGGAGGAGCAGAGAGCCACGAGTATTTTTCTTTCTTCACTAATAAATTACTATCTAAGCTTACTATTACTGTTACACTTTACTGTATAAACTTGTTAAAAACAAGACACACAGGTCCCTTAGCCTAGGTCTGGACAGGGTCAGATCAATATCACTGTCTTCTACCTCCACATATCGTCCCCCGGACGGTCTTCAGGGGCAGTCACACGCACGGGGCTGTATTCTCCTGTGACAGCAGTGCCTTCTCCGGAAGGCCTCCTGAAGGACCTGCCTGAAGCTCCTTGAAGAGCTCTCACTCTTTTCAGAAATATGTACTCACTGGTTTATTTGCTTTGTTTCTTTTTTTCATCACAGATTTTTTTTGGTAAGCAGATAATGCGCCAGGAACATTTCCTCTCTGTTAATAAAAACCTTTCAGTGTTGGGGTCAATGTTCTCACACTTTTAAGGAGCCTGCTGAGGTCTGCAAAAGTTTCTGCTAAATCTTTGCTATGAATTTCTTTAGGGGTTCATCTTCTTTTTCTTTTGCAGTTTATTCCCCTCTCTTTCCAGCTATGCTTTCCTGTTCCACTTCCAGTAACTCTTCATTGGTCAGTTCTTTGGGAACCATCTCTAAGATCTCCTAATGTTACTCTCCTCCACTCTCCACTGTTTGCTCTTCCAACCACAGCCTTGTTGATTTTTGCAGACTTTGTGCTAAGACAGTACAATGTGTATGATATTGTTATAATTGAAGTTGGGGTACCTTTTTTCCCACTGAGGCTGGGGGTGGAGTCCTTCCCATATCTTGAGGGAAAGAGTGAATGAGATTTGCACCAGGGATGAGTGATTTTTATTTGTATGGAATTGCATCCCTGGGTTTCCAAAGTCCCCTTTCCCTTAATCCATTCCTAGAAGAAGTGTAGCTGGGGATTCAGTAGAGCTAAAAGCAAAAGCAGTGTCCAGAGTTTCTGTTCCATGTTGCAGCTGAGTGCAGTTCAGCATCAGGCTAGTTACAGTTCATTAGTCCACTGTGTGTGAAGTCCACATAGTCCCCCTGGAAAATGCAGGAGAGCACAACACACCAAGAGCACAAGAGAAAGCAAGAGAGTGAATTATTTTGTTTAGGGGATTAAATATCCCAAATGTCCTGCCCTTGCAGTGGTCACACCTACTCTGACCAATGACCTGTTCCCAGGAGTGACTGCCAGCAAGCACCTTTTCTAGCACTGTGGCTCCCCCTACCCCACCCCCACCCCCAACCCAACTTTGCTGGTCATGCATCTGTCTCCTGCCCGTCCAGTCCCTTCCCCCAGTGATGTGCAGGGAATTGACCATTGGCTCCCTGGGGAGTGTAAGTTGTAGTTTCCTGGTGAAGCTGCCCAAATGATATGCCTATAATAATTGGCCTTTTGTTTGCTCCTTACCTGTTTTTAATAACTAGGTTGATCACAACTGTATCAATGTCAGTAGGAATTTTTCAACTGTTATAATCTTAAGGAACTGCTCGCATATATCCAGTCCATTGTGGATCAAAACTCATGCAGCACATGACTACCACTTATCACGTATTTAGAGACTTCTTTTTTGTTGTTACTTTATACCATTACTTAAATATTTAGTGTCATCTAAATTTTAATATATTTGACATATAATTGGACATATAATTTTAGTTAAAATATAAATTTCTTGGTACATCTTAATATTTTAAAATAAATTATATATCATTATATCCCCAAAGCCCATCATAACATATTGCTGAGCATCATTTTGTTAACCCTGAACTATACTTACCATTGAAATTTTTAATACGAATTAGTATCTTCGTGGCCCAGGTGACAGGGTGGGAGGAGTGGCGAGCAGATGGAGGAATGCGGGTGGGAGCCCATGGGGTGCTCCTTTTGCCCCACATCCTAAAAGGCACAGCAGTCAAGAGCCGGGCTGGATGCAGGCTGGGGACTGGGCCCAGGCCTGGTATGGTCAGTGAGAATTCATCATCTGAATATTGTATTGTGTGTTCACCTTGAGACTTTGTTCTTCAGCTTATTTTATGCGGCTCAGAACCTCATTATCCTGAGGATTTAATGCTTATGGGAGTGGCTGTGCAGGGTTTGCCTGAGGCTATTCTAGCGCCCTTGCCCTCCTCTCAGCGGGTCTACCACAGGACTGGCAATGTGCCAGAGAGGAGAGATCTGGGGAGGGAGGGTCCACACTGCATGACCCCTTTATGAAAGGGCAGGGGTCTAAACTGTGTTACCAGCAATATGCCAAGGGTGGAAAGGTGAAATTGGGGGCATGGTCCCACCCTTATTTTCCATTTTGTCTGTTGCTAGGAACCCAGGACTTTCTGCCCTAATGACCTTCTGTACCTGGTCTGTCATTCCTGCTCTGCTCATGTCTGTCTAATTGCCTACTATATTAACAATAAAATCAAATTCAAAATAGTGTGCTTGTTTGGTCAGGGCAACCACTAAGCATTAATAATGGAGGCTGCTAAGTAAGTCTTTGAAAAGAGTTTGCAGGAAAGAAGAAGAGAAGAATAGTTAAAAGCAACAATTCTTGCCCTGGCTGGTTTGGCTCAGCGGTTAGAGCGTCGGCCTGCGGTCTGGAGAGACCCGGGTTCGGTTCCCCATAAGGGCACGTACTTCGGTTGCAGTTTGTCCCAGGCCCTGGTTGGTCCTGCGGGTGGCAGCCACTCAATGTGTCCCTTCACGTCGATGTTTCTCTCTCTCTCTCCCTTCCTCTCTCTCCCTCCCACTCTATCAGTACAAAAAATGGAAAAATACCCTCGGGTGAGGATAAAAAAAAAAAAAAAAGCAACAATTCTTGTTTTGAAACTTGAGTCTTAGAAAAACAAAAGCATTGCTCTTAAATTAACGCAAAGCTCGCTGGGAGCCCTTCCTACTTGCCTCCAGGCAGCTGCAGATTCTAAGGAACCAGGGCGTCTGAAGAGAAACTGCCCTGCAGTTAGAAGGTTTAGGAAGCAACCACGCTAGGTTCCAGCACCCTCAGAAGGTTTTTTAATTTGTCTTGAAACGCATTTCTCCTTCCAAAAATAGATAGGGTCAGCTGATGCTTAGTTGCACCCCAGAGTCTACCATTAAACTTAAAGCAGAGAATGGGAAACTGGATTTCTTCATTGACACTGCTGTAACTTTCTCTACCATGGGTGGAAGGGATTTATCTCTACCCATCACCTCTGAGTCTATTCAAGAGTCTCTGGACAACCTGTTAGGCCCTGCTAACACTTATCATGCCTTTCTAGTTTCAAACTGCTCACCAGCACACCTTCTTGGCAGAGATTTGTTATGCAGGGGAAGGATGTTTTTATTTCCCTGCCCTCAGACCAAGCCCCCAAACTCCTACTTTCCTTACTAGAAAGTCATCCTGATTTAACCTCCTCTGAAGGGGATTTTCTTTAAAAGCTGTCCCAATTTGTCTCTGGGCTAAACATGCAAATGAAGTCAGATGGCTACAAAGGGCAGAGCCTGTGTACATTACTCAGTGAAAGAACAATCAGTAAGTAGCCCAATATCCTCTCTCCAGATATTCAGAGCAATAAATTGAACACATAGAAGACTGTTTTTGAAGCAGGGTGTACGTGTCTTTATTTCCTCACCCTGTAAGACACCAATCTTGTCAATAAAGAAAGAAGGTAAATGAGATTCAGACAGGAATCAAATTTATCCATATGTATAAATTCCAAACACCACAATTTATTTGTAAGTCCTTCTCCCTTGGTGTTCCCCAATTTGGGTACTTATTCTTCTGATGCAGCTTGTTTTACAGCAAAAGACCTCTGCTCAGCTTTCTTTTCAATCCCAAGCACCCTTTTTTTTTTTTTTTTTTGCATTTACATTTAGAGGGAGACAAACAAAATGGACTTGCATACCCAAAAGTTATTGTGAGTCTCCTTCAGTATTTTCCCAAGCCTTTAAATTAGGCTTGGATTCTGTAGCCTACCCAAGACTCTGTGCTTGTTTAGTATGTAGATGATCTTTTACTTTGTTATCAGGCTAAGCAGAGAGTTCTTACAGATTCCATCTTTTTCTTCTTCTTTTCTCTCTCTTTTTTAAAAGAGTTTTATTTATTTTTAGAAGAGAAGGAGAGGGAGAGAGGGAGAAATATCTATGTGAGAGAGAAACATCAGTTGGCTGCTTTCTGAACACCCCTTACCAGGGATTAAGTTTACAGCCTGGGCATGTGCCCTGACCTGGTATCAAACCAGTGACCTCCTGGTACGTGAGATGCCCAACAAATTGAGCCACACTGCCCAGGGCAAGACTCCCTTATCCTTCTAAAGATGTGAGCTAAATAAGACATAAAGGCTCCAGATCAAAACTTCAGTGGGTACAAAGGACTCTTACTTTTTAGGACATGAGATACTCAGAGCATTCAAAAGCGAACCCTAAAATTCCTTGAATCAATTTTGTTCATCACTTTCTTCCAAATAAAAAAAAGTTATGTAAATTTATAGGGGCAGCTGGCTACTGCTGCCAAAAGTTCTCTAATTTTACAGCCATGTTAAACCTCTGTGGTATCCCAAGATCAATTTGCTCTAGACTCACTAAAGACTCAACGAGGAGAAGCTTGTGCAATCACTGGTGAAAATGTTGCTTCATTGTAAATCCCAACATCCCAGTGGAACTGGGAATGAATGTGTTATACTATTTATATTAGTTGACTAGCCATAGAATAAAACTAAAATGAGAATGTACTGATAAAGTAAGTTTATAAAAATTTTTATGTAAAGTTATTCATGCTAATCTTTGTAAATGTTAAACCAAGCTTGTAATTCTCACCTGATTTTTCTCAAAACTGGAGCTTGCATATTACAAGTGTTTTTGTTGTTGTTGTTGTTGTTTTAGCAGTTCAGCAGTTTCTGTTTCTGTGTGAGACTAGGAAGCAACCTGGACTCAAGACCTTGGCTGATGCTGAGCACCTAGTCATCTGAATTCAGGTGACAAAAGACTCAAAGATGCTAACCCTAAAGATCCCTATCAAGGTCTATGGGAAGACATCCTATATAGCCTGGAC